TTTGAAAAAGGAAAATGAAAGAGAAGGTTGTGGTGTGGCTTACTTGCTAAGCTTTGAACAAGATGGCTCTCCTCTTCCTTCCTCTTCCTCTCAAGACTTCTGTCTTGCTCTTCTCTCTCTCCTCTAGGCTGAATGTGTGTGTGAGTGTGTTGTTTGTGTTTGCCATGCTAGGGAGTGGTGGTATTTATAGGCAAATTTTGTTGTAAAATGACATAAAAGCCCACTAGTTGGAATTGGATGGAAAAGTTGAGATTTACTTGGAGTCTAATGGAATAGAAGTGATTAGGGAGCTTAATCATGGGATTAGGCAATATCTAGTTGGTCCCTAGTTAAAATGAAACTAGTATTGAAAACAAAACCCTAGGTCTAGGGGTACTAGGTGTTAGGGTTCTTAGAATACCATGATTACAATTCTTGAAAATAGGTTCCTCACATCTCCCTAGGATGGCCGGCCATTGGGAAGGGTGATGGGGCTTATTTTTTATTCAATTTAAGTACTAGGGACACATCTCCCAATGTATATATATATAGATCTCAATTTGATTGATGGTATCTATAGTATAAAGTACATGTACTAGTTTTTGGGGAAATTCTTGAATTTAAATAAATAGTGAGGGCTTGGAATTAAATTCATCTATTAGAACCTTACTTATGTAGAATTAAATTAAATTAGGCTAGGGAACCTAATCCGGCTAGGATATTCCTGTTTTGATAAAAAAAAAATGCTATCCGACAAGATTCGAAACAATTCAAGGAACTGAGGGGCTTTAAGAAAATAATTCAAACATTAGGGTCTTTAAAGAGAATACATTTTACAGGGGTTTCACATAGACCATCTCCAATGGTTATTTAACCATGTCATCAAATTTAAATTTTATGAAAAATGGCATTTTTTTCTGCTCCAACGATTTCATCAAATAGATATCAAATTTAAGATTTCATTTTTCTTTTATCAAACTGAGTACGAATGTACCTTTCATCAAATCACTATTTATTGTTGTTGGATTTTTACTACCAAATGTTCCTTCAAATGTCCCTCTAGATATCCCCTCGGATGACCACCTTAAGGTAAAAATTTGTGAAAAATTTACACTGGCCGGTCGACCGGCCGAACATTCGCACGGTCAATCCCTCGGATGACCGCTTCAGGGCAAAAAATTTGTGAAAGATTTACACTGGCCAGTTGACTGACCGGACATTCGCCCGATCGACTAGTGTTCTAATGAAGTTTCACAAACCTCCGTTGGAACACTTGATGTTAAATTGACTTTTTATTTAAATTTGATAAAAAATTTGATGCATCGTTGGATTTGCTCTTAAAATCACTTATTGTAATCATAAATTTATTAGATTAATTATAGATTTTCTTATTATATTTTCATATGATGTCTATTTGATAGGCCCTAAGGCCACCTTTAATAATTTATTGGATTTTACTTACCTCCTTGATGTAAACATATAATTTTTTTTATGTTTATTAAAAATATTTATCTTATTCTATACAAAGTCTATTCGAAGATGCTCTAACTTTTTTTTCTTTTTTTGGGTTGAATAATATGCCCTAACTTTTCTTTCATAATTCAAGTGATTTTTACTTTAAAAAAGGATTTCCTTTTGTCACCTAGGGAAAATGCTGACTAGACTCAAACGAATATTAACAAAATTGGGTCACAAATTGACTTTAGATTAAACATTAACATGTGATTCCATAGCCCACATTGATAATATTACATATCAATGATTATATGATATAATTGTTAGTATTGAATTTTTATTCTAATTAACTATGTTTTTTTTTTTGGCAAGAATACAAGTTACCAACTTATATGAGAATGCCATTAACATTAGATTCCGGGACTCAAACAATGCTAGGGAACCAAATAAATTATTAAATATTTTACATAATACCCACGTGTGGGACTCACATTACATGAGACCCACTTATATGTGAGTATTTGATAGAATATTTGATAATTCATTTAGGATCTCTAACATTTTTATTATTCCAAACTTTCAAAAGTGTACAAGTAAACTCTATGAAATTTAAATTAGGGTAGAAAAGATTGAATTTTAGCAAAATTCAAAAGAAAAATAAATAAAATAAAATCAAAGAAAAAAGAAAATTGGATTATTAATTTTCAGAATGTTGCTCCTTTGGAACATTTTATTTATTTATTTATTACTTTGGCCAATGATTGGCTTGCTCTTCTAAAAATTTGCAGAAATTTGATCAAAATTTTCAAATATTTATTTGGATGTTTAGTAGATTTTTTAACTTCAGCCATTATGTCAAAATTTTGAATTGAGTTGATTTTCACCAAAGAAAATGCTTTATCTATAAAATCCCTCTAAACCACCAAAAAGAGTTCACTGTTGATAAAAATGTGTTGAATTAATATTTAAATTACATGATATGAAAATAAAAAACCACAACTTAAACGGGTTGAGGCACAAGAGTGTGGTATGGTAGTAGACATCTCAAGGGTGTTGCAAATGGCTTATTTATAGGGAAAATTGAATTGGCATACCTCCTTTGCGTGGCAAATTTTATTTTCACACACAAAGTTCTCTCACTTATACATTTAATGAAAAAAATATACTTATATTTTTATTTTAAAATAAAAATATCAGGATATCATTTTATCTTCACATCCAAAACCCTAATTTTCAAATCACTCAAAAATTTCTAACCCTAACCAGTTGTCGCACCACCACTAGCCTCTTCCTTGACTGCCTTAGTAGGGGTTTGAATTCAAGATTGGGTTACAAGCAACAACTTCATCCGTATGGTAGCAGATCAAGCATTGCTGATGATAGCATGTCTCCATATAGATATGGAGAGGTGAGCCACTTTAATGTAGAAAACAAACAAGTGCAATCAATGGTTAGAAGTCATTTAAAAAGCTTATTTAGAGAGATAGAGTTAGGTATGTCAAGTTTGCAGTTTTTCTTTTCAACTACATGCAACAGTTCGGTCTTTCAGAATAAATTATATAATTAGGTTGTAATACAATTGTGAACTTTCTAGTTGTATAAGCAATAGAAAGTTTGGAAACAGTGTGTCGTAGTATTTTGGGACGAGCTGCAGCGACAACTATAGTGGAGGTGGCTACAGTGACTAGTTAGGGTTAGAGACTAGGGTTAGTGGTGGAAGGATGAAGAAGAAAGTATTTTTGGTATAAAGAGTTGTGTACTGAGTAAAATATATATATTTTAAAATTCATTAAATGTGTGAATTGAGATATGATATGCACAAAAATAAAAAGATATATGGAAATAGAATTTCCCCATCCGCGTTCGTAGATTTGACCCAATCTTACATCTTATCCTCAAGCCTAATAATACAGATAATTACAGACATTTTCATCTACTATCATTTAGTCAATGGAGGAACCTTAGATATTCCCATATGCTAAACTCATCACTAACTCATCGCTATGTACTAATTTATTTACATCAATAAATCAATTTAATTTTAAAATACACCAACATTTGGCAATTTCTCTCTTTCTTTTTTATTGATTTAATTCAATGTATTTTCTTTTAAATCAAATTTATGGAGTTAGTGGTTGCACAAACACACATAGTTGTTGCAAAATTTTCTCTCACAAAGGTTTTTCTTTGGGCTAATGAGTGCTTTCATGGAACTTGTTTGGGATTATGGGGTATTGCATTTGTTCCTTTTTCATCTTTATCATTTCTTGGGCACAAAGTGAAGCATTCCTTGGCAAATTTTTTTATGGTCCAAAAAATGTGGTTTTGGGGTATCATATTGAAAAATCTCACCAGTTAGATCTGGATAACAAAAAAAATCTAACTATTAATTGATAACGAGTAAAACCGGATTTTAAAAAAAAAAATGAGGTGATTTTTTTCACACCCAAAAATAAATAAAATTAACTCTTATAACAAAATAAATCTTAAATTTTTAATTTTGTCAATTTAAATCTTACATTTTTTATTTGTTTTTTTATCTAAATTATTCACCTACTTCCATTAAGTAAAATCAATGGGAAAAAAAATTAGTCATTAAACTCAATAAAATATATATATACACATATATATATTTTTAGACATTTTATGTAAACTCAAATTTTGTTAGTATAGCATTACTCTTAGGCCATGTTTGATTCCACAATACTAATAGTGAGGTATTAATAATCCAATTAAATTAGTGTAGTATTCACAATCCCACCCCTACCCCATTACTAATAATCCTACAAATTTATTGGATTAATTATCCATTGGATTGATAATCCTAAAACAAAATGTCAAAACAAACATAGGATAATTGGGCCCGCGAATTAATAATCCCAATCCTATACTCTAATCCTTCCAATCAAACATACCATTAAGGTTTTTTTTTTTTGGTGCATTACTCTTAAGATTAGTTATAAAGAACCGCTATTCTCACTCCACTTTACTTCAAATACACTCTCTCCATTTTACTCCAAATACAATCTCTTATATGTATAATAATGACCAAAAAAAGAATATATTTAGAGCAAAATAGAGTAGAAATAGCGACTCCTCATTTATAATAATCAATAGACCTCTTCTAAAGAGTCTGTTAGAGATACTCTTACCATGAGGCCATTGTGAGCCTAACAACTAAGATTACAATGGCAATGACACAAATAACAAATTTTTTCCAATCAACCAAATATTTACCGAAGCGAATGTGAATTGGAATAAAATAGTCATTCTTCGTTATCATTTCCGTTGATTTAAATGAACCAAACATGAGATGAATTCTTACCAAGAAAACAAAAGACAAGGTTCTATGGGCAAGTGATAGTGACTAGTATCCCAATTTCTTGTTACACGTTTATAACTTAACTTCTTTCTTTCAACCAGATAAACTGATTTTTGAATCTTGCAGTAGAGGGAATACAAAGCAACCCCAAAAATGCTTGCTCAAGCCATTCCTTTCTTTCTACCATTGACTTTCTTAGCTACCAAGCTTAGAACCCCACATCTATGGCTTATATAACTCCCCCAACAAAACATATACATATTGAGGTTGTACATATAACCCTCTTTGCCAATAATTAGCAACACATATATAAACATATATATAATATCTTCTCATATAACCATGCCGATTCATTTATTGTTGGACTCTGATGACGATACGCTGCCGGTGGGAAAGCCCTTTGGCCGTGAAAGGCCTATATATGATATTCTTGGTAGAGGGAAAGGTAGTGTTTAAATTAACTCTAGCCTGTCTTTTTTTCTTTTCTTTTTTCTTTCTAAAAGTGGTCTGTTTTCTGACAAAATTCTTGAAAACAGTTCGCTGAACAAGTTTTCTATTTTTCTTTTACGTTTTCTTTTTGTAACTAAATGGAAGAACAAAGCCATAAAGAATGTACGAAAAATGGAAAGTTAAATTTTCCAGAAAAATATTCAGAATGTAGTGCTGCCAGATGAAGTAATACATTAAACATGACCAGCATTTTCTTACCACAAAAGACCAAAAAGAAAAACTCTTTCTCGTTTTCTAGACTCTTGTAATGAGTAACAAATGATGATTTTGCAGCTGCGGATGTGCTATTGTGGAGGGACAAAACGGTATCTGCTGCAATTCTTGCATCTGTTTCAATAATATGGTTTCTTTTCGAGGTTGTTGAGTACAATTTGGTGACCTTACTCTCTCACATTATCATCACTACAATGCTCGTAATCTTCATTTGGTCTATGGGCGCACACGTTTTCAAATGGTAAACAAATTTTATTATTATTGTTCTTGATAAAATTTATGATCATGAACACTTTCTCGCTTTATTTTAATAAATCAAAGTATTGTTCATTAGGACTCCTCCAAGAATCCCAGACATTATCTTACACGAGTCGTCATCTAGAGAAGTCGCTGCGATTTGGCATGCAAAATTCAACAAGTTCTTGACCAAGTTCTTTGATGTTGCATGTGGAAATGATTTCAGACAATTCATTTTGGTACCAAAATAAACTATCTATGTTTATGTCTTAATCCATCAGTTCAAAACTTTGTTGTTGTCCATGACTCTCAATATTGATTTTCAGGGAATCTGTTCTCTGTGGATACTTTCAGTGGCTGGAAACTACATCAGCACCATGAATCTTTTGTTTTTCAGTACGTATTAGGGGTAGACAAACGACCAGAAACCTTGTTAAGCGAACCAAACTGACCTCTATATATTGGGTTGGTTTTGTTCTTCGATGGCCATGGTTTAATCTAAAAATTGGCAACCCGACCAGCTTAGTTTGGTTCTCGAATTAGCCTTAGGCTGACCCGAATCAACAAGAGAACTGATCATATAAATATTTAAATAATATTTTATAATTCCGTCCTATAATTATTTCATCCTTTTTTCAAATCATTTCAAGTTTTATCCTGGAATTCAGATTATGACAATTTCACCCTATAAACTATATTTTCTAAAATTTAATATGACACCGTGGTTCTAATTTGAACCAAACCCAAGTTTCTTTGGGTTTGGTTAGGTCAATTTCAAAGGATGGTTGATTTACTTTTGGATACAAAAAATTTAAACCGATACATCAATTTCATTATGGGTTTATCTCTTATCTGAACCACCCCGACTCATGTCAAACCTAATACATATGCATCATCTTATATTCTTATTATACTTTTTGTAATTATGAGCACTGACTAATTTGGTATTGTGAATGTTCATCGAGGCTGTCTCTGCTTGGAAACACTACCATATCTGTATGAACGATATGAAGAACAAGTCGATCACCATTTGATCCAATTGAACAAACAGATGAGGAAGTCGTTCAAGAAGCTTGATTCAGAATTTCTCAGGAAAGTTCCAAGAGGACCAGTGAAAGAAAAGAAAGCCAAATAAAACCGGACTACACATACTTTGGATGAAGCTTCATTGTTATTTTATCGAACATTCATAAATTTGAATTACAGAAAAGCCTTCACAAAATGAAGCTGCAATCTGTTGTACAAAATGAAAAAGTAGTTTGAATGTTTCAAAATCAAAATAAAAGAGGAGGGTCGTGCTTATGAAACAAAGAAAAAGTTTCCAAGTGTATGTCATGACGATCTGTAGGTAATTTTGGACAGCTACCAAAATTGGAAAATGCAGAAAACACCATCATCAAAATTTAAACTCCGAAATTGGGTTTCCGAGCATAACAAAAAGCAGCAGTATAGAACATGTGGACAAAAGGCAGCAGTATTAGTGTACCTCTTAGACAAAGCTCCATGATTGAATCTCCATTTGAATAAGTGAAATAAGCATCATCATCCCTTTCTTCTTGTGGCCCGACTGAACATTTCTTTGATATTTTGTGAATCTGTCTCCACTTTTGCCTTTTTAGTTTGCCTTCCTCCACTCCTGGTAGTTTTCTTATCGCTCTCACTCTTTTCCTGATGAATCAAATGAAAAGATAAATGTTAAGCAGAAATCGTAAATCTCAAACATGAAAATGAAGCAACTTCAGAGAGATCCACAATGGTGCACAAATTAATCACTATCAAAGATCAAACTATCATTCCACATAACTTCTTATTCATGCAACTGTCCGTGTTGTATTGCCAAGTTCTCTTATACCACACACAAAATAAGAATTTATTGGTAAAAATAATTCACAGTCCACATGCCTCCAAGAGTTTCAGCAGATTGATTATACAGGTCCATATAAAAAGGTAACCGACATGAATAGAATAAATCCATCATTTGAAACTACATAACACTTCCATAGGCACATTTTAAAGGAGGAAAAAAACGTAGCGAATTGATTTATGTTTACATAGTGGAGGGAATTGATTCAGGTTGTGTATACCTTTACAGGATCAAAAGACGCTGGGTTATTTTCCGTTGTAGTTGGGAGGATTTCAATATCTGGTGCTTTAGTTGCTGCTTCTAAATCTAACCTGCACATGCACTCGATACAGTATACTTCGTTAACAATGGCATTGGATCCATCTGCATTACATTCCAGACATGCACTCGATACAGTACACTTCGTTAACAATGGAATTGGATCCATCTGCATTACATTCCAAACTTGTACAAAGGAACATATACAATATTGGGTAAATTACGGTCCCCCTTTAAGTTTCAGCGTTTTTCCACTTCGGCAAGTTTTTTTATCCTACTTTGGTCAAGCAATTACCTTTTTTCCCAATTTGCTCCAATAAAATGGACAGACATTGGCTGTTGGAGCAAACAGAGAAAATTAGGCTCTGTTTGGTACAGCTCCGGAACTAACGTTCCAGAGCTTATTTTGCATATAATGTTTGTTTAGGAGTTTCAAATCATAATTTCACTCACTTTTGAAAACTCGGTCGAAGGCAGGAAAATTTAAACTAACCGGTTGTCCCACCGGTTGACCGGAACAGTGCAAATATATATATTTTTTATTTTTTATTTTTATTTTTGCATTTGACATATGTTAATTTTTATATATTCGAAAAAAATATTTTCCGAATTTTTAAAAAAAATTTATGTGCTTTAATAGAATTTTGAGTTGTATGTTTGGTTATGCGTTGTAAGTTTTTGTATCAAATATTATATGACACATCAAAAATTCCCCACTCAATTCAAAACTCTTTCACCAAACAAATTTTCCACACTCAAATCATAATTCCAAAACTCACAAACTCAAAATACAACTTTTACTCTCAAATCATATTTAGAAAGTTCTACCAAACGCAACCTTAGTTACTTAAAGGACCAAAGTGAAAAAAAAAAGAAATATAAAAATAAAATAAATAAAAAATAAAAAACTTTTAGGGCCAAAGTGAGAAAATATTGAAACTTAAGGGGTTAGTTTAAATTACCCTATAATATTTTAAAAGAAACATGTCATGATTACAAGTAACATGAAAATAACAATTACAAAAAAAACAGATCATACTTCAGATATCTGCAGAGGAGCTTTAACCATGGCTCATCCTTCAAATAATCCCCCAACACTAACACTGCATCAGCTACTGCACCATCAAAAGATGTAAATTACTGATGTAAGCAAGAGTTTTTTCACCTGTGGTATGGAACTATTACTGTTTATCATGTCAAACTGGACAAATAGCAATCAACAGGTCTGTTAAAATGCAAGCTAACTGGACTATCAAGCTTCAATCAAGATGCCATAGATGGCCATGTATTCAATAATAAAAAAAAAAATACAATCACCATATAAGCATGAAAAATTGCATGGCATGTATGCCGCCATTTCAAGAGCATAAATGCATATCCATTCAACACCTTCTAAAATCATAATTTCCATAATCTTCATCAATCTCATCCTTCACACCATCTTACTCTATTTCCTGTTTCACCTCCCTGTGTTCACTACCCTTCCCGTTCTATGTACACATGAAATCGTCTCTTTTTTATGACCGACACTATGAATTTATCTGCAACTACACAGTTTGGAAGCATACAAATTATTCACTCCACCAAGGTGGTGCCAACCTATATACAAAGCGGCTATAAATGCTACACAGAGAACTTCTACTCCAAAATTTCAATGTAGTCTAAAAATTGGTTCCAGGATGGCTCTACCCTCACCAACTCTATAAAATAAACAAAAGACTTCAATTCTCAAATCTGGCACCTCATTGCCCTCAAAAGTTCTATTTTGTTCCCTCCAAATCAAGCTACAAAATCGCCAAAGGAACAAGCTGCCAGGCCTTCTTTTTATTTTTATCCACTTGAACTCCACCCAAGGCCACAGAAGCTCCTTGATCTTCCTCAGTAACACCTGGGCCCCTAACTATTTAAAGCAACACAAGCAACATTACGGAAGGCCATCTCCAGTGCCTTCTCACTGGCTCCAAAACTTCATTTTCTTCACAAACTGAATGTCGCTGGCAAAGGACTCCCAGCTGATAGCCCCAAGTCTTCTAAATTGATTTTGATGATAAAAAAGTCAAGTTATAGGGAATTATTTTTCATATATCATGAGTTATAAACTTGGTTATGAAGCTTAAAATTTTACTATTTTGTGCTTCTGTTTTAGTCTCTTGACATTTGATCTTATGAAGATGTTTATCCTATGCTTAAAGATCTTTTCTTACTATTGGATTTCTGTTGGATTGGATCAAGTTTCCAAAACCTTGGAATGCTTTCTGTCGAGTTTTTGTCCAGGTGGTGTTGACCGGAAATCGGGGTGGGCTCGATTTAGAGGGCTTTGGTGTTGACCTCTACCGGAACCTTCCAGCATCTTGTCACCCATTTTTCAGATCCCCAGCTTCCTGTACCAGATTCTCCGCATCCATACCAAGCCTGCTGCCAACCAAACACATCCCTAAGAATTCCAACACTGAATTTGTAGAATGACTACAAGACAAAAACAAAGGTCCCTCCAGTCATTTCTCCAAAGCCATCACATTTGCAAAAAGAGTGCCTCTGCAAAGCCCAAGCCGACCCACCTCCTGGGTCAAATTTTCTCAACACAAAACCCTCCCATCAATCTACATAGTCCGATGCAGGGATAAGAAGAACCTCCCTTCTCAACCCAGAGCTTGCCTTGACCTCCAAAAGCCAACCCCCTCTGTTGGCCATTGTCCAGCATTCAACCCTCATCTGTCTGCCACTCTAGGAACCCAGAAAGGTCTACACCACTGAGCCCTTCGAAGCAAACAAGCAATTTCTCACCCAACCAAACAATCCCAGAACCTAGCAGAGTGAGAGATCTCTACAAATCACTTCCCCTTTGTTACTGTGACTCATTGTCAATCATCATCATCGCCTACGACATTTTCAAGAATCCTACTCATTTTTTTTGTTCCCAGAATAGACCTTTTTAGCCACAAAACCCTAGCCAATCAAGCCCCTTAAAGGATTCAACTTGTTCATCTCCTCATAATTTTTTTATTTTTATTTATTTTTTTATTATTTTTTTTGATAAATAAGTTCATCTCCTTAAATGTTGAATGATCAACATAGAAACTGCATGAAATGAAATCATATGAAGTTCATACTCTAAATGTATTCTGCCAATGATCATCTTTTTGTTCCCCATCAACACATATAAACATTCATATTGTTCACAACTTTCAAGACTACTGATTTGCCTTCCCAAAATTTTCAAATAACAACGTAAATTGATGAAGAAGAATAGATGAGTAATTGCATGGTTACCCTAAATGGCAAAGTAAATAATGACAGGGCAAAAATGATGGACTGTATATTGACTAATGTGTTCAAATGTTACACACCCTCACTTAGTAACAAGGTTAAAGTCAAATGCAAATATATCGGCCAATAATACACTAGAATGCGTTCGCCCCTTGGCACAACCATTACATAATGACCATAATTTAACCCTTCCTTGATATGTGAAGCTTTGCACTTCCAATTTATTGTTTTTAGTAAGTAATTGAGATCATTCCTATATTTTTCCAGTACGAGGCCAAGGCCTATGCATCATGTTTAGGATAGTCAATAGACATAACTCATACATGCTGAGTACAGAGGTCCATGATACAAGCACACAAGCTGTTCCCCTTCCAGCCTTACCAGCCCAACCAAGCGGGTCCTATGTACCACCAATTTTGTCAATACCAAGTTACCAACATTAATTAGCAGATCCATAACCTCATTAAGATAAACTAACATATGGAAACAAAAGAGTTTATAAATTAATTTTTCACTAAAAATCATACATGTATCCTTCTCAACTCGTGCAGCATAGTTTTTATCCAATGTGGGTAGAGTCCTCTTCAGTTGGTTTACCTACAAATAAATAAAAATCAAAACGAGAGACAACAACCACAATTTGGGTCGTACATGCAATTATGTATCACAATAGTACAGAGTTGTTTATGGTCACATTTCTAGCAGCAAAATAAGGATTACATACATTTTCCACCCTTTCACTTTACCTAATATCACATTGTGCTGGAAATTTGTGTTAATGCATATAATAAGATAGTGGCATATGATAGTGGTGTTGGTGGTAGATAGTGGCATGTATAGAATATGATAGTGGTGTTGGTGGTAGATAATGGCATGTATAGAATATGATAGTGGTGTTGGTGGTAGATAATGGCATGTATAGAATATGATAGTGGTGTTGGTGGTAGATAATGGCATGTATAGAATATGATAGTGGTGTTGGTGGTAGATAATGGCATGTATAGAATATGATAGTGGTGTTGGTGGTAGATAATGGCATGTATAGAATATGATAGTGGTGTTGGTGGTAGATAATGGCATGTATAGAATATGATAGTGGTGTTGGTGGTAGATAATGGCATGTATAGAATATGATAGTGGTGTTGGTGGTAGATAATGGCATGTATAGAATATGATAGTGGTGTTGGTGGTAGATAATGGCATGTATAGAATATGATAGTGGTGTTGGTGGTAGATAATGGCATGTATAGAATATGATAGTGGTGTTGGTGGTAGATAATGGCATGTATAGAATATGATAGTGGTGTTGGTGGTAGATAATGGCATGTATAGAATATGATAGTGGTGTTGGTGGTAGATAATGGCATGTATAGAATATGATAGTGGTGTTGGTGGTAGATAATGGCATGTATAGAATATGATAGTGGTGTTGGTGGTAGATAATGGCATGTATAGAATATGATAGTGGTGTTGGTGGTAGATAATGGCATGTATAGAATATGATAGTGGTGTTGGTGGTAGATAATGGCATGTATAGAATATGATAGTGGTGTTGGTGGTAGATAATGGCATGTATAGAATATGATAGTGGTGTTGGTGGTAGATAATGGCATGTATAGAATATGATAGTGGTGTTGGTGGTAGATAATGGCATGTATAGAATATGATAGTGGTGTTGGTGGTAGATAATGGCATGTATAGAATATGATAGTGGTGTTGGTGGTAGATAATGGCATGTATAGAATATGATAGTGGTGTTGGTGGTAGATAATGGCATGTATAGAATATGATAGTGGTGTTGGTGGTAGATAATGGCATGTATAGAATATGATAGTGGTGTTGGTGGTAGATAATGGCATGTATAGAATATGATAGTGGTGTTGGTGGTAGATAATGGCATGTATAGAATATGATAGTGGTGTTGGTGGTAGATAATGGCATGTATAGAATATGATAGTGGTGTTGGTGGTAGATAATGGCATGTATAGAATATGATAGTGGTGTTGGTGGTAGATAATGGCATGTATAGAATATGATAGTGGTGTTGGTGGTAGATAATGGCATGTATAGAATATGATAGTGGTGTTGGTGGTAGATAATGGCATGTATAGAATATGATAGTGGTGTTGGTGGTAGATAATGGCATGTATAGAATATGATAGTGGTGTTGGTGGTAGATAATGGCATGTATAGAATATGATAGTGGTGTTGGTGGTAGATAATGGCATGTATAGAATATGATAGTGGTGTTGGTGGTAGATAATGGCATGTATAGAATATGATAGTGGTGTTGGTGGTAGATAATGGCATGTATAGAATATGATAGTGGTGTTGGTGGTAGATAATGGCATGTATAGAATATGATAGTGGTGTTGGTGGTAGATAATGGCATGTATAGAATATGATAGTGGTGTTGGTGGTAGATAATGGCATGTATAGAATATGATAGTGGTGTTGGTGGTAGATAATGGCATGTATAGAATATGATAGTGGTGTTGGTGGTAGATAATGGCATGTATAGAATATGATAGTGGTGTTGGTGGTAGATAATGGCATGTATAGAATATGATAGTGGTGTTGGTGGTAGATAATGGCATGTATAGAATATGATAGTGGTGTTGGTGGTAGAGAGTCAAGCAGATCACACCATATTTTATAAACATTCAAAAAACAGTAAAATTGCAATTTTGATTGTTTATGTTGATGACATCATTTTAACTGGTAATGATGAAGCAGAGTTAGCAGCTCTCAAAGAGAAACTCGCAAAAGAATTTCACATTAAGGATCTGGGAGCCCTCAAGTATTTCCTCGGAATGGAATTTGCAAGATCCAAGGAAGGTATATTCGTTAATCAGAGAAAATATGTTCTTGATCTCCTTGGAGAAACAGGTATGCTTGGTTGTACGATGGTGGAGACTCCGATCGAGCCTAACTTGAAGTTACAAGCTGCTAAGGCTGAAGAAGTCAAAGAGAGGGAACAATATCAGCGACTTGTCGGGAAATTGATTTACTTGTCTCATACGCGGCCTGATATTGCCTTTGCAGTCAGCATGGTAAGTCAGTTCATGCACTCACCAGGGGCAGAGCACTTTGAGGCTGTTTATAAGATCTTAAGATATTTGAAAGGAACTCCAGGGAGAGGCTTACTGTTCAAGAAACATGGACATCTTCAAGTTGAAGTATACACAGATGCAGACTGGGCAGGAAGTGTTATAGACAGGAGATCAACATCCGGATACTGCTCCTTTGTAGGTGGGAACCTGTTACATGGCGGAGTAAAAAACAGAATGTGGTAGCTAGAAGTAGTGCAGAAGCTGAGTTCAGAGCTGTTGCCCATGGAATCTGTGAAGTAATGTGGATTAAAAGAATTCTTGAAGAATTAAAGCTTTCTCACCCGACACCTATGAAGGTCTATTGTGACAACAAAGCAGCTATATCTATAGCTCATAATCCAGTTCTACATGATCGCACAAAACATATAGAAGTGGATAAACATTTCATCAAGGAGAAAATCAATGCTGGCATAATCTGTATGACCTACCTTCCAACAGGTGAACAATTAGCTGATGTGCTAACGAAGGGACTACACAAGAAGCAATTTGATAAGCTGACTAGCAAGCTGGCTATGGAAGATATCTTCAAACCAGCTTGAGGGGGAGTGCTGAAAATTTGTGTTAATAATTAGATAGTGGCATGTATATAATATGATAGTGGTAGATAGTGGTAATATATAATATGTAAGTGGCATATAATGGGTTATAATGATGTTTATAATATCTCCTATATAAGGAGTGTCATTTGGTCTTGTAAAATAAGAAGTTTTGAATATAACAGAAATATATTCCTTCTTCCTCATATTTTCGGAGTTCTTCTTCCTCATATTTTCTAAGTCATTCTTTCCCATTTTTCAATTGTGATAGTTAACCCCATACATCCTACACTTACAATCTCTGTTATTAGAATCGTACGATTCGCGATTCGAATCGTACAATTCGATTCGATTTAGTAGGTAATCGATTCGAACAGATTGTGCGAATCGCAAATAGCTGTGAATCGTAGGTGAATCGGTGAATCGAATCGATGAATCGTGAATCAATTCAATTCGCTAAAATCAATATTTGGCTTTCTTTTTTGAGTTTTTATTGTTAGAAAAGGGTTCATACAACCTTTTTAAGGTCTCTAGGATTACTATATGTCATCTTTTGACTTTCTCTTCCTCCTTATTTACTCTCAAATACTCAAACTTTAGCGGAAAAAAGAAGAAGAAGAACTTTCTCTCTCTATAATATTCTAGACTTACATATTCAATTTTATCTAAATACTTACATTTACAAAATGAATTTTTTGAAGGCATCAAGTGAGATTTTTGAAAAAGTCAAGAAGATTTTGGTTTTTTAACCTTATAAAAAGTCAAAAACATTGTTTTTGAGTTATTGTGACTTGGAAATTGAAAGTTTTTCTTCGTTTGCTTTCTTCATTAAGAATGGTTGATAATAAATAGTATCTAAAAGGGAAAAGAGTGAAGTGGTAAACATTGGAATCAATGTTAACTTCTTAAATTTCTTACTTAGACCACATGATCATCATTTAAAACAATGTTTTTGGTGATTTGTGTCTAAATATTTCATATTTATTAGATATATTTAATATCTAAGTGTGTACATATATTTTCTATATAATTAAAAAAAAGTGACCGAATCTTTACGATTCACGATTCGATTCGATTCGCGATTCGGTACAATACCATTTCGATTCACGATTCGAATCCCGATTTGACAACTATGCTTACAATCAAGTTGCAATGTCACCCTTTCATGAGCCGTCCTTATACGAACTTACGAAATATGTCCATGTAGCACACAACAATCTCTACAAATGAAGGTGACCATTTTCCATCACCCCAGGCAGCAACTCACGGAAGGTTTGCATTGCAACTTGACTAGGAGTCCATAGATTGACTGCTACAATTGAAAAATGAAGAACTAATGTGGGATTTGAGGTACACTGCAGGGATGCAAACTGTTTTTAACACAAGATATTAAAGAGTCAGCAATGAAGCCAGCCTCTTCTGCATGCATTAGATTAATACATTCATGCTTAACAGTTACAGCCTCTAAGCTTAAATAGGTTGTTTATTTTCATTCTAGGTGCTTCTACATTATAATGATATCTAGTAAGAGTTGCTTCAACAGCATCATATTTACAATAATAATTATTAAAAAAATATTGAAAAGCATCATATACCAGAGGTGTAAAGAAATAAAGACTGACCTTATAGTTCAACCAAGCTAAAACCTTTGAATCATTAAGCCTAAAAAACTTTGTAGATCCAATTTCTGCACACCCACAGACAGACAAACAGACAGTAATAAAACATTTGTCAAGCATAAAATAGATATTACTTTCTTGGTCAAAGTTAGAAGTTTGAGCTAGCCCTCCACCATAACTATACTCTCTAGTACATTGAAAAACATAGAATATTATAAAACATCATAGATGTAAACGAAGTTGCTTCTCAGGTTTATGTGAACTGTCATAAGCAGTCTGAGCATTTTTTACCATGAGAAATACCCAACTGACAGCTCCATATATCCCTTCTGTGATTCCAAGAGAACAAATGGCATTCTTATAATTTTAATTTGTTAACCTTTAGCCTAGAATCTCCCAAAGTCCAAGTAGTCAAAAGTTTTAGTGTAAACCCCATAATTGCATCCCACTATTACAAATATTCAATACCAAGTCAAAGGCTCTCATGGAAGCACACTCAACTTGGCCAATGATCTTTCTGGTTTTACTAGAGGAAAAGTTCTAAAAAAATTTAATGATAGTCACTGGAGAAATAGTTGAATCACTCATTACCAAAATACAATGTCACCAAATACTCTATCTGTTGCCAAACACTCAACCAGGACATAGTATTTCTTCAGCAACATGATAGCATACATGTGAGTACAATCAGCATCAAAAAAGTATACGTAATGCATTACCTTTAATATCACAAACTACTTGCATAGATTTCTCCGCAATGGAAAATAAATATTGATATCCAGGGTAGCCATTAATGAAAATTATCTCCTCTAGTTGCCTGAACTTCCCTGGATCATCTCCCTTCTGCATTCATTCCAAAGTTACATAAAAACCTCTATAGATCTTAAGAAAAACTATATATCTAAACATGAAAAATAAAAATGATGTGCAGAACTTCTGATCAGTAAACCAAGTATAACACACCAACAACATGGCTGTACCTTCATCCGTGCTTCCTCAAAAATAGGTAATAGGATGAAGACAGGATCAACTGGAGTTGCAGTATATAGGCAGCCATCTGTTGAAATAATATATTTATTATCGAAAAAAAAAAAAAAAAAGAGTAAAGCAACATATTGGCAAAGAATTATGTTTACCTGTTAAAAGCTTACTCAAAGGAACATCTTGCAATAGATACTATGACAGTAGAAAATCAGGTGTCGTTTGGTAACACTTCTTTTAAGTACTTCCTATGTTTTTATGAGACATTTAGCTACTTTCAAGAGCTATTTGAGATTAGGTCCTAACTAAATTTTTTAACCCCATAAGTCCTACTAATACACGAATTCTGAAACTACCCTGCAAACAAACTTCCGAAAGACGAGAACCTGTTACTAGCTAAGTAGTGCATTTGAGTCTGGTATTGAGATATGGAGGCATTGATGTTGATATGATGGTTTACCTTCGCAGACATAGTCTCCGACAAACCAAGAGCCATAGGATTGCTTAAACCAGTGAATTTCTTGAAGAGCTTCATTGATCAAGAGGTAGCATGTTTTGTTTCCTGTCATGTAAGTGAAGAATGTTCAAAGCTTGTAAAACTGAAATTAATTAAGTACCAAAAATTTTTAGTATCACATTTTACTGAAACATATTGAATTTTTAAATTTAAAATTTTTAGAAAAATATGTTAGTTTAAAATGAAAATGAAAACTATCTTCAAACGAGCTTATTCAGTATTCAGTGATTGGTCAAATCTCTCTAATTTAAAATAAGACCCATTTTTAGTCAATTTTTGGTTTTGGGTGACGGGTGTTTAATGCTTATATGTTATCAAACACACTTATTGCAAAAGCACTGAATGCGTTCAGTTTTAAGCACTGAATTGTGTAATCAAAGAGGGCTTGTGTTATCAACCAGGGCTTAGGTCATTATCAAACAATATCTACTTTTGAAAACATTTGGCTTAATACAACAAAATCTATTTTTGACATAATAACCACAAGATAGAGTAATGAGCATCTATTATAGACACAAAACAAGAAATACTCACACTCTTCCAAAGGAATATAAAAATAAAAAATAAAAAAAAAACAATCTAAAAAGAGCTAATGTAATTACTTGAGGCAATAAATAGAACTACGAGTTATGATATACAATAATAATAAAAAATGGGCAAATTACAAAAAAAACCCAGTATTTTGCATCTTTTTCAATTTAAACTCAGGGTTTCAATTTTAACAATTAAAACCCTGGTATTACTTCCGTGTGACAATTAATGCCCTCCGTTCATCTCCATCTGATGAAACATCGGAGACCTCCATTTTCCCCTCTTCTCTCTCTCAGAGCACCATTTTCCCCTCTTCTTTTTCATTACTTGATCAACTCCATCACCACCACTGTAAACACCATCATCACCGCCACCTTTCAACACCAAATCCACCTCCTTCAGAACCAAGTTCTAACACCACCACTACCATCAAGCTCCACGACCACCATCACCACGAGCTCCATCGCCACCACCGAACCGCCACTACCACCATCGCCCAACTCCGTCAAAAAAGAACACACTATGATTTACTCTCTCTGTTTTGTTGTTTTTCTCTTTGTTTCTACGATTTCTGGTGTTCTTTGTTCAAATAGTTTCTAGGTTCATCTGGGTTGTGGTGGATTGTTAGGGTTTGGTTGGGTTCAAGTAACCTATCTACGTCATGATTTAGGGCATTATAATATTATGACAAATCGTGGATTTAACAATTTGACTCAAATTCTAATTGGGAATTGCTTAATTGGGATCAACATTCCTTGGTGGAATTGGACTCATAATGCTCACCACATTGCTGGTAATAGTCTTGATTATGATCCTGATCTTCAACACCTCCCTATTTTCGCTGTGTCTACGAGTTTGTTCGAATCAATAACTTCGTGTTTTTATGGTAGAGAATTGACATTTGATCCCATTGCTAAGTTCTTTGTGAGTTATCAGCATTATACATTTTACCCTATGATGTGTATGGATTGAATTAACCTTTTTACAGACCTTTTTGTCGTTGTTTTTGAACCGAATAGTACCCAATAGAGCTATGAACATATTGGGAATACTTGTGTTTTGGACATGGTTTCCTCTTCTTGTTGTTTGCTTACCCAATTGGACAAAGAGGGGGTTGTTTGTGCTTGTGAGTTTCATTGTGACCTCAATTCAACATATTCAATTCTGTTTGAATCATTTCTCGACTAATGTTTATGTCAGGCCGCCTAAGGGGAACAATTGGTTTGAGAAACAGACGAATGAGAGATGGGTAGATTGGTTCCATGGTGGTTTGCAGTTTCAGCTAGAACACCACTTGTTCCATCGTTTGCCCTGGTGCCATTTGAGGAGGATCTCTTTGCTCGTGAGAGACCTTTGCAAGAAGCACAATTTGCCTTATAGAAGATTGACTTTTTGTGAGGCCAATGTGATGACAATCAAGACTCTTAGGGATGCGGCGATGCAGGTTTGGAATTTGTTATAGGTGAAGAGGAAGAATAAGGAAGATGGAGGAGAAAGAAACAAAAGAGGTAAGTTTTTTGAATTTTCGAAGTTGATTTTCAGGCTACTTTCGGCATATTGAAACCACCCATTTCAAGGAGGAGTGAGAATGCGAGGTAGCGTAAGATGAAGTACGAAGCAAGGTGAAGAGATTGACAAAAGGACAGAGTAAAACCATTAAGAATCAAGAAAGTTATGGAGTCTGAAAGATGGGTCAAAGTAACTCAGAAAATCGGAAATTGGGTCTCTATTGTGCTCTGGAACAAGGAAGAAGATGATGTTGGGTTTTATCATGTGCTTCTCGAGCTAATCGACAAAATGGGGCTTTTATATAGGGTTGGGGCAAAACAATGCCGTTTTGGGATGAAAATGGCACAAAAAATGGACGTCTCTGTTACTTTATCAGACGGAGATAGACGGAGGGCGTTAATTGTGACATGGAAGTAACATCAGAGTTTTAATTGTTAAAATTGAAATTCTGAGATTTAAATTGAAAAACACGCGAAATCCTTAGGTTTTTTTTTTGTAATTTGCCCTACAAAAAATAAAAACTAAATAAAATGGGCACAACATAAGAGACACAATAATAGATTAAAGTTAACTAACTAATTACATGAGAAATTAGATCATTAAAAGTAAAACAGTGTTCTTTGACATTACCAGATTTGGGATGGCGAAGTGACAGTAATTGTCCCACACAATTTCCAGTTGCACTAGGTTCTGTAATTTTAAGGGCAGGAAAGAATACATAATCATAATTAGTAACCAAAACTAATAGTAATATCTCATAGTTAATATCATGCCTCATCAATGTATAATAAGATCATTTCTAATAATTACCAACACCAATCACACCATGTGATTTTGATGTATGAAATCAAAGGTCAAGTAATAGACAAGATCAAATAGGTAAGGAGTTACCTGGTGCAATGAGAAGACGAGTTTCATCAACACCTTCCCACCAAGCCATGTCGTTGGAGAAAACTTGGAACTTCAGAAAATTGATAGTGAAGTAGTATACACACAAAATAAAATGTTCAATGTTAAAACATAAAAGATGACGTGGACTTCACTAGTAACAAAGATGAAGCCAAGTGTATTATTTGGAAGAAGTCTTTCACATTACAAATTAATGAATTTGTATAATACTTTCAAGACATACAAGATACAGCTTAATATACGGTAAAGCATTCAACTCAAAACCAATTGGCAATGTGAAGGTGACAAGAAGATAAGAGACTTGAGCAGAGATTTGACACACCAGAGACCACCCAAGACCCAGCTCTATGACATGTTAAAGTATCCAACTCAAAACCAATTGGTTATAAATGGAGGAGCCTTTCGAGTATATTAACCAAGTCTGTGTAGCTCATCGAGACGATGTGGGACAATTCTAACAACATGTATTTTTTTTCCTTTCATTTTCTTCTTTGACATCTATTTTTTATTTTTTATTTTTGGCCTCTTTTTGTGAAAACATATGACAATAGAATAATGTATCGAGATCGTACTTGGTTGAGGACTAATTATCTAGTGTGCCAGCCCAGTAGAAGTGGGTTATGTACTTACACGGCCACAAAAAATAGGAATAAAATGAGAAAATCACAAAACACTATTGGATGGGCAAACAGTTCGTGATGTTTCCGGAAGAGTATATAATTTCTGCTTGGTTCAGGAATTTTATCAAACACTTGTCGTTGGAGTAGAGCAAGAGAAGGTTTTTAACATTTTCCGATAAGTACATGGATTTTCCAATAAAAGAACGTTTTGCAGATAGTCGTAGGAATCCATCAACTGTTCATAACACTAGGAAAAAAAAATTAAAAATTATTTAATCGCATGAATGAACTACAGAGTCACACCAGACCTGTACATTCAAACCCAAGAACTAAAAAATAGCATAGGACAAGGGGGAAATAGAGAACAAATGCTGACCTTTTAATGTGAAAGAAAGTGGAAGATGGGATGCAATGTGATCTGTAAAGAAAGACGATCGAAAAACCACTCTCTCTCTCTCTCCCTCTCCCTCTCTCCTCGCCTTTCTATTTCGAAACTCCCTCCCTCACCCCCTGTGAACATGAAATTGTAGGAATAGATAATGATTTTTTCTTTTTTTTTATACATCGAATTGCAAGTCTTCCGGATTAGCTCTCCAAATTGGGGGACAAAGCATTTAGGTTTGCGGAGAGAGTTACCTCCGTACCTTATCTTTTGTACTGACATCTTGTAGATTTATTTGTAATAAAAGTTAATCACATAAAAATGAGTTCGAAAATGATTGGTAGTTTGAAAAAAGTGGTCCGATTTTGGCTCGAATTTAAATTTGAAGACAGAGATAGAGAAGAAAGAGGGAAAGAAGAGAGGAGAAGAAAGAGGGAAAGAAGAGAGGGAGAAAGAGAGAGGAGGAGAGGAGATCGTCGCAGCACCACTGCCGTCGCCTCGTCGCCACCGATCGTCGCAGCACCAAAGATCGTCGCTCCGGCCCCGCCTCCACCTCCTCCTCCCCCTGTAATTATGCCCCCTCCAGTCCTCCTCCTTCCTCCTTCCTCCTCCTCCTTCCTTCTCTTCTCCTTCTCTTTTTCTCCACACTTCTTCTTCTTCTTCCTTTTGCAACAAAAACACAGGAAAAAGAAAAAAAAAAAAAAAAACACCAAAACGCCAAAACAACATCGTTTTGGTATCGAGCTAAATTTGAACCAAACTCTTTTGAGCTACGTAGCGGGGTCGAAATGAGTTCTATCGGATATAAAATTTTTTTTTACATTTTATGTTAATGTATTTGTCATGTAAACCATTTATTTTTTAAAATAAAATATTATTTATTCATATATTTATAATTTTTTGATAAAATTAATATTTTGTATGAATAACATTTATTGTAATATTTAAAAAGTAGATGATTCGGATTATCGGTACGAGTTTAGAATTGGGCCCTATAAAGGAGTATGGAGAAATATGGAGAGATGAGGTATGGAAGGTGAGTTTATCCCTAGTTTGGTGAGTTTATTTTGGGATTGATTTAGATGATTTGAATTGCTTGGTGGGTTTATTTTGGGAATCGATTTAGATTATTTGAACCGTTCATATTTTATGATTTATTGAGTAAAATATTCATACAAAAAATTAAGATGATTAAATATTGACAACTATATGTTTGAATCATATTCATCTTGTTTAGTTCCAATTTCTGAATTCAATTTTTTTGAAATTTGATTTTTGGGTACGATGAATCTAAATTTAGATTTTCTTTACCCAATAAAGCTTTGTAACTTGAAAATTTGTGGCTCAAATGGCCCGAAGTTTCTCTAATCTCTATCTCTCTTTCTCTCTCTCAGACTAGACTCTCTCTCTCTCTCTCTCTCTCTCTCTCCTCCGCGCCACCGCTACTGCCGCGACGCCAAAGTCGCTGCCCACTTTGCGCAAACACCTCATTCGTCACCTTCTCTCATCCTTGCCATTCTCCTCCGTCATTCGTTGCTGCCACCGCCGTCGCCACCGCTATCGAAGGCCACTCAGATCTATAGATCCGTCGCCGTCCATCCACCACTCCATCGCCGTCTAGATCTACAGATCTTCCATTATCATGTACAACCAAATCTTCAATCACAAAGTTGAAAAAAAATTCAGATTCAACAAATTTTTTTTTTTTGTTTTTTTTTTTTGGGATTGTTGGTTGTTGTTGATGATGATGTGTTGTTTTTGATGATGTAAATCCGGATCCTCCACCACCACCACCACCACCGAAGTCTCTATTTTTTATAGTAGATCTAAGGTCTCTCTCTCTATCTCTGCAACTGTTAATGGGATGAGAGAGAGAGAAGATGAAGAAGATGAAGGAAAAAGAAAAAAAAAACTGTTAATGATTGTTGGTTGTTGTTGATGATATGTTGTTGGATTTTTTTTTCTTTAGATTCTACATTTTTTTTTTGTTGTGATTGTTGGTTGTTGATGATGATGATGTGTTGTTGTTTTTGATGTAAATTCAGATCCACCACCACTGCCGAAGTCTCTATTTTCTCTTCTTTTCTCTTTTTTTTTTTGTTTGTTTTTTGTAATGAATCTAAGGTCTCTCTCTCTATCTCTGCAACTGTTAATGGGATGAGAGGGAAAGAAGACGGAGAAGATGAAGGGAAAAAAAAAGAAGTGGCAAAATGATGTTGTTTTGGCACCTCGAGCCATTCGAACCACCATTTTCTCAAGCTACCTAGCGGGATTGTTCTTTACCCAAAGGTCCACACTCTGAAATACTATGTCCACAAGGACAAACTCCTACAAAATGACCAAAATATCCCTCTACCTCTCTCACGCGCGTTTTATTTATGTGTTTTTTTTAAAGGGGCAAATTACCTACATCTCCCTTGAGATTTAACGAAATTACAAATTTTTCCAGAGATTTCAAAAATTACATCCCGCCCTATCGCAATTAACGTCGTTAACGAATATTATAAATTGACTAAAATGCCCTTTTGACAAATAAGGGTAAATTTCCTACACACCTTTGAGATTTAGCTAAATTACATATTTCCCCTGAGGTTTAGTTAAATTATCATTTTTAAATAAGTTATGAAATGCAAAATTAAAATGGAAAACACTTATCACACTACAAAAAATTAAGGTTTTAGAGACCAAAATTTAGGGACAAAATTATTTTTAAGGAACAAAATTATTTTTTGGGAACCAAATATTGTTGTTGCGAAAAGTGTCGTTATTATATTTTTTGTAACGAAAATTTAACATTAGTGATTAATTATTATCTTTTCGGTATCAAATTTTTTTGTCTAAAAAAATAAACCATCTTGAGACCAAATTATTTTATTCCTAGAAGTCTATTTATTATTGACATTTTCGAAATTTTATCGCTAAAAGCCTTATTTTTGACTTTTCAGGGCAATCTTTTAGCGATTATCCTCACGGCAATAGAAATTATTCCCTAAATATGTTTTACAACAAAATTTTCACTTTTAGAGATAAAAGAAATTGATCTCTAAAACTCTTATATGTTGTAGTGTCAGATGATAAAAATATCATAAAATTAACAAATAATTAAATAAGTTAAAAACACAATTTGCTTGTCAAAAAATTCTTAGAATATGTTTGGCTTGATTTTTAAAAATTTAGTTTTAATTTTTTTTAAAAAAATTAAAAATTAATTTGGTTAAGAAATAAAAAATTATCATTATTATTATTTTTATATAATTTTATATTTTGAGTGGTTAGAAATAATTTTAACAAATTAAATATATTTTTTCATATTTATTTTTATTAAATTAGTTTTTTTTTAATTCTAAATTTTTTTTCTAAATAACAAATCAAACATGGTTCCAAAAACTTATTTTTTTTTTTTCCATCTAACATAATTCTTTTGTAAATTTTGTTGATTTATCAAAGGGATTTTAGCAGAGGCAATATCGTCCATCAATTTATATTTTGGTGATATCAGCTAACCATTCTTAATGTTTAGTTAACGGTAAGGGTTAAATTGTTACGCGAATATAAATCTCGGGGAGCGGGATGTAATTTTTGAAACTTCAGGGAGAATCTATAATTTAGCTAAATTTCAAGTGTAGGTAATTTGCCCCTTTAGAACTGTTTCATTTCTCTCTCTCTCTCTCTCTCTCTCTCTCTCTCACACACACACACACACACACATTCAACTCCTCATATCTCTTTCATTCTCACTCTTCTCCTCAAATCTCGCTCTCTCTTTGTCACTACTCTCTCCTCAGATCTCTGATTGTAGATTATGATGATGATGATGAACGTAGAATGGCGGCGCAATTGGCAACGGTGGATGGCAAAGTTGAAGGATCTTATTGTGGACGCGTCCCGAACGCCCCGGGAGGAATCCCGTTTCGTTCATTTTGGGCTTACCACAGTTCGGACTCAAATGTCACGGTTTTGAATCTAATCTCACAATGTGCGATGTGAGACCAATAAATCACCAAAAAGTCCAAATCCGGCAAATCGTTTTGAAAAACTGATTTTTATAAAGAAGTGCCAAATATGGACTGCTTTGCCAGATACAGAGTCGCCACCTAAATATTTTATTTTGAAGAAATTTAGGAAATCCTGACTTGTGCCTAAGGCCACATGTCTGTCATTACCAAAGTTGCCTTAGCTCGGGAACTTGGGTACGATTGGGGAAGGTCATTTAATGAGCACCCCCGCTCGCTCGATCAAAGATCGGCCTGTACTAAGCATGATATCTTGTTTTTGAAAACACATGTGCTCTTATTCCGGTTAATTAGCTAGAATTACTATGTGATGCACACAGCAAAACAAGTATAGACTAGATCGCTTAATTTGGAACCAAGCACCACATATCCGTTTGTTTGGAAAATGGTTTGAAGTTTGCTACTCGTAAGTAGGCTAAAATGCGGATTTTAATGAATTGTCCCAATTCAAGTAATCCGACCTTCACCCACAGGCATTCAGGCAGTTAATCACGTAAGCAAATAGCCTCATGGCAAACATGCTTTCATGGCAACATTAACACACATGCAGTATGCTAAAGTGCAAACACTCACAGTGTACTCCGAGCCAAAACAAAGAACTAGTTAGAAATCAATGCATGATCCTAGTTCATGTTAAAATGGCTAATATAACACATGCAAAAATGCAATTAAGATAGGCTCGGCTATCCTAAGAATGTCATGTGAGATGCAACTTGGTACATGTATTCAAATTGGAATTGAAATACAATGCAGTTAGCATGATGCGCCGAGCTCGGTGCATGCAATACAGATGAATGGATGCAAACATGCAAGCATAAGGTATGCTAAATGAAATATGCCCTAAAACCAACCATCGTAAGTGGTTAAGTAAAAGGGAGAAAGAAATGGGGATTGGAAGACATACATCACACACACGCACGCTTATTACAACAATGCGCCCTCTCGAAGGAGGGACCGAATAAGGAGCTAACTAGCTAATCTAAGCTAATTAAACTAATTATTACACAACAAATTAATTAACTAATCCTAGTTAACTAATTATTACAGAACAAATTGAATAGTTAACACATTAACTATTAAAGGTACAAACCGAAGCAAAACCTAGCTATCTAAGCATGGCAGCTAAGGAAAGCAATAAATCAAGAGCCTTAGAGGTAGAGGAATGCATGCATGTCCGGTTGCCTCGTTCGGAAATCCAATGCGATGCCCCAATTTGCCTCTGTTTTCATT